CCCTCCCTCCCTCCCTCCCTCCCCTTCCCCCTCCCTCTCCCCTTCCCCTTCTCTCTTGTTTATTATAATTATAATTATTTTTTTCACAGGTTGTGCTGTTTTGTATACTGTTCGTCATCAGCTTATGTCATTGCAATGATCTTCCGTCAAAAACTGAAATCGAGAGCTCGATCAATCGTACGATTGACGAAGTCGAAAGATTGATTCGCCAAAATTCTACTTTACCAAACCTCACCAGACATGAGATTATTGACATCCTTTTTAACATCACATCCAAAAATCTTGAGACATACGAGAACAAAAGTATAATGGAGGAAGCGAGAAATATCTATCAAAATGCTTTAATGGTAGTCTTGCCTTATAACGCAGAAGACTCCAGAGAAAACATCAAGGATTTATACATCAAACCGCCAATAGTTCAAATAATTGCGGATCCTTTTCCCAATCCGGAAGACTTTGAAGCGGAGAAGAATAAGAAATTAGAAGCAAATATACTCGTGCAAGAAATGCATACACAACATGATAAAAAGAAACAATCTCTCGAAAATTTTGTAGTAACATATGCTCCAAAGGAAAACTTAAATGAAGAACACACATACAATCCTGAACAAACACAATTATATAGAAATCACAAAGAAATGTATTCGAAAGCGTCTTCGAAGGTACCTATGAAAGAGACACTAAATGATTCAGCGCCAATCAAATTTAGCTTCAATCTGGAAAATCTGCAAAAGAGAGAGAGAGAGCAACCGACCATTACTGAAAAACAAATAACTACCTATAAACAACCAATGTTTCAAGGATCTTCGTTAAGAAAAATCAAAGACAAAGAAGTTTATATAGTATATAGTACCGGTGCAACAACAATCCCCCCACGAACAGTAGAGACAAAAAAGTATATCTCAATGTTTAACTTGGAACCTCTCTCTTCTGAGAAAGAGAATGAAATAATATCTCGTCCTTTAAAATATAATGAAAATGTTTTGTCTGTTGATCAATGGCGATATAATGCATCAAAAACACAGAAAGAGAGAGAAAGTACTACAATATTAACAAAACTTGATGAAACAGATACGCTTTTTAAAAGAATTCGCGACAAGCAACAGCTTTTTCCAACTTCTATTACACAAATGCCATTAAAAAATATAGCGCCGACTAACAAAATTAAGTATATTCCAGAGAGTTTAACATCCGAAAAAATACAAATCGTGAATGCTGAATCAGCTCCCATTTTCGTAACACCAATGCCGCTCTCTTCTCTTTTACCTTCTTCTTCTTCTACTTTACCAGCGCGTAAGAGAGAGAAATTAAAATATAATTCCACTTATATATACAATTTAAACTCTGGTTTTCGCAAAATCATAACGACAACAATGCGTCCAGAAGTAATGGAATTGCTTGCTTCAATTGGACTTCGACCGGAAAATGCTACAAATGTAGAAGATGTATTTAGAAAGAGTAATAAAGATTTAGAGATAAAATCCCGAATTCCTAACAGTAACGATTTAATCTATACAACTTCCAGTTTGACAACTGTTTTGCGCGATTCATCACCGATAAACGCTCAAAACACCTTCGAGAATCCTGTTTTAGAGATCGGAAAAGGCATGAACAATCTAACACCTGATGTACAATTACTTTTCCAAAAATTTGGTTTACAATCTAATCTAGTAACAACATCGTCCCCGCTGAAGATCAGTAACACAAACTCTTATACCAACTTCAAACCTTTGCCAACATCTAAGATAAAAAACGAAGATATGAAAGAATTTTTAGCAAAATTCGGACTTGGTGTTAGCGACAACAGACAGAAAAAGGCCATGTCGATATCAACGGAACGCCCATCATTGATTGAAGTCATTCCAAATAACATGAGGCAAATTCTGGAGAACATAGGCCTCATATCTCGCAAGACATCGAAAACAATATCAAAGATGGAGAGTGTAGAACTAACAAAAACGACTCAACAGTTCCACGTGTTCAAACCTCACGAAGCCCATGTAAAGGATAAAGGGGAGAGAATGAAAATTAACGAACTTTTAGACAAAATTAGATTAGTCCAGGAAGGAAAAGCAAGCGCAAAGGATGTACGAAAGGTAGCCGATAATCTGCTTGCTACTACAAAAACTTTAAAGGATGGACCGGATCCGCTGAGTCTAGAAGAGATGATTAAAACTTATAATATAAACGTAAAAAATGAAGTAAAAAGACAACAGAATCTGAAAGAAACTATTGAAACTACTACCAATGACGATCGAGCTCTTTCGGCGCCTACTGGTAAAAAGAAATTTATGATATCCCTTTTGGGCAATTTGAATTATTTAGAGTTTAGTAAGGATCTAACACATGTTAATCAACATAAGGAATAAGATTATGCAATTAAATCAATGTATTTTTGAAAATGCCTTATTACTTATTCTTTCAGTGTAATTTTCTCTAGCTTGAAAATTTTTATGATTTTTATATAAAGCTAAATAAAACTGCAGATTAACATTTTATAATAAATTCGGACATCTTTCGATATGCAAACTATCTGAACGAATGTTCATCAAAGAGGATTTTTGCACAAAATTTTCTTACGCATACGTTACTGTCATAGGCGCCGGCAGAATTACTAACAGAAAGGTGCACCCAAAAGAATTCAAATTTGAACGCCAACTGTAATAACTTTTCTACTAGAAGTGTGTAAATGAAAATTTAAAATATGTGCATATACGTGCAAACGATAAGCAATCGAATGAGCCATAGAAACTTATTCTTTTTAATGTTGGATTAACTTCACAATGATAATGTGACAAACAAACATTTGGACATGCAGCAACCAAGACAAACTCACTTTTTGTTAATATTGATATTTTTAAATTTATTTCTCAAATTTTTATTACAAATACAATATTAGTTAGTATATATTAGTAGTACCTAACATTTGCATTGAGTTTTTTGTTCAATTAGAAAAGTTGTATTTTATATTACGCAACTTCTTTTTTTTTAGATTTTTCTCTTTTCCACTTATTTCATAAGTTAGGGGGTGCTACGCATCTCTTTACACTCCTCTCGTGACATCCATGGTCATTATCAACTAGATATACAATTTTCATCCTGCGTGCTTGCCTCTGAAGCAATACGCATTGTATTGATGTTGCATGTGAAATATTAGATGTATATACTCGCACGCAAACCCATTCGTAACTCAATGTCATCATTATCGCCAATGAATATCTACCAATGGATAGGCGAAAAAACCTTATTGTTTACTTTATTTTTTGGAGTTTTTTTTTTAATAGTTTCTTCTTCCATAATATATATAGCTGCGCTGCGATAAATTAAATGGAGAAAACACAATAGAGGGGGAAGAGAAGAGTGCTCTTTATTGAAATCTTTATCAAAGATGAATTTAGAATATTTATTTTCATTGTGCTAACTCGAATTAGTTATCTGCAATTTCAACTTCTTTATTATATATGTATACCTTTATATAATATTTTTCTCATTAATTTCCAATTTTTTCCTCTTAAGTAATTTTATGATTTTATTATTTTTATATGTATATATAATGATAAAATTTTTTAATACTTTCAGCGTTGCTAAGAATATTCAAAACTTTTTGTATTATGCTATCCTTTAATTATCTTTTATATATTTTATTTTTTTTTATAAAAATTTAACTTTCCGCAATATTTAATTTTTTTCTTAAATTATTTCGACTTATTCCTTAAATTGACAATAATATCCGCGGAAATATATTTATCAAAATTTTTAATAGCATTTTTAGTCATCATATGATTGTCACATTTATTATTATAGAACATAAAAAATTTTTTTAGAGATAATATCACATAAAATAAATAAAATAGCAATTGAACACCAATTCATCAAAGATCTTGTTGACAGAATCTGCAAACATTTCCTCGACAACAACAACTATGGCCACAATCCCGACGACTTCAGATTCCACAAAGGATAGTTCAAATTTCCGTGATACATTGACACCAACTGCAGAGTCATCGACATTTGCAAATACAAATCTTGCGGCATTGGAAGAATCCTTTGGTGGTACTACACGTGCACCGGATCCCGTTCTGCCAACCAAACAAAGGAACGGCCTATATTTTCTCTTGGATTGGAATACCTTCCTTGAGGTCGGCGATGAAGAGAGCGAGAAAGTAAATCTGAGATTTGAACCAAAAATTGGTGACAGAATGAGATTTTTGCCAGTCAGCGTGCCTTAATTTATAATATAAATTTTGATGAAATATTATTTCTGAAGAACATTAATTTAATTTATATATTCTATAATGTTTATAATCTTTAGATATTAAAAATATT